ACGTCCATGATGCTCCCATACCGGATCCGGAGCATCCGGAAAAACACCATGAAAACGTTGTGTAAGACCTTGCTCCCAACCAGCCGGTGCATCCAACGGTCCTATGGCATGACCTGCAAACGATAGTCCCAGCAAAAGTGACACATCCTCGAGAGTAGGAGCCATGCATCTCTCCCCACCGAAAGTGAAACGTGTGGGTCTCTGGCCTCCAACGGTCCACTAAGCAGCTCAACAAGGAGGAGTCGATGGCGAGGCATTTGCAGCCCGGGATAGACTCAACCAGACGCACGAAAGGTAATAGGCCGGCCCATTTCAACCTTCATCACAGAACATTTTAGTTAGTGTCTCCCATTAATATGCATGTCAGTGTGCAAATTAATAAAGCACGTACCACTGAACCCATCCTGGGTGTATCATCCAGTTCTCCTTAGGAGTGTGAGTGACCAGAGGCTCAAGCTTGCGCTCATACCATATTGCAGCACGATGACCCCTATCAATGTCCCCATTCAGCAACCACATTCCCGACACTCCTGCACAGAAAAATTCAGAATATAGTGCCACACTTAATAAAAATTCAGAACATAGTGCCACACTTAAAAAAATTTAGAACATAGTGCCACACTTAATACAAATTCAGAACATATTGCCACACTTAATACAAATTCAGAACATAGTTCCACACTTAATACAAATTCAGAATATAGTGCCACACTTAATACAAATTCAGAACATAGTGCCACACCTAATACAAATTCAGAACATAGTGCCGCACTTAATATAAATTCAGAACATACTACTCCTAGCTTATCTTCTTCCTCTCCCTCTTACTCCTCTACCTCCTCTTCGTCTCCGGTTGCCTCGTCCATGCCCAGTGACGAAATGGGACAATTAGTGTCCCTATGGCCAAATTCATTACATAGAATGTATTGCCTAGTCGGACCTCCTGCTTCAGATTCATCCATATCATTTCGGATTCGCCGACACTGTCATCTGCCTCTACTTGTACGCATATGCTCTGGGTTTCGAATGTAACGCCTTTCAGCGGGGTTGACGCTGTTGAAGTTACCCATTGATCGAAAACCCATCAACTCACCTGTCCAGGTATTGAGGATAGACTCTTTCAGAAAAAATGGAGACACAAACGATATTGTATCCATTCCAAGTTGTCCGCAAGCAGCAAGTACATGTGAGCAAGGTAGGTGAAGCAATTTTGGTTTGTTGCATGTGCACTCACACGTTGGCCAGGCTTCATTACCAATTCTCACCTCATGCGTCCTCAACTCATTTGCACATCCGAATTTGTTGTTGGCTAAGCGTACCTCAAACCTTCTTTCTTGATTACCGATGGCGACTACAGTGTGTGACCTAGCTTTTTGCATCTTGTTGTCCATGTACTTCGTGACTCTTTCACAGTAACGTGTATTTGGGTTGTTCAAGATATGCTGCTCTGCTTTTTGGCGTCTATCTCTGAAATACTTCACGGTGCCATAGAAAATACCCTCAACAATGGATGTAAGTGGAAATGCCCGGTTTCCTCTAAGGACAAAGTTGTATGTTTCCGCGAGGTTCGTTGTCATGACACCGCACCTTGCTCCAAATGTGTCATGTAGCAAAGACCACCTCTCCAAAGGCTCATGCTCTATCCACTGCTCGAAAGTTTTAATCGACCTCCCGAGCCTTCTCCTAGTACCAGGTGGGTCAAAGCCTGGAAGGTCACATAGCCCAACATGCTCCTCCTCCATGGCCGATGTTCCTGTTGCCAACTGTGCAGCTACTGCTTCAACATGTGCCCTCATCGCTGCATCTATTGCAGCTTTCCTGTCCCTCATGTGTCTCTGTGTGCACACATTAAGTCTGTCACATACCAAATTGTACTTCCATAACTGGTTCTGCTTGCAGAGTTTTTTGAAAAGATTCATCAGGTTCTTATTTCTAAACTGTGAGAAGAAATTAGCCCCCAGATGGCGCATACACCAATGGCTCTGCAAGTCCCGCCATGGAGTTTGTTCCTCAGGGCCTGGGTTTGTCAGTGTCCTTATCGCACTAAGTATACCTGCGTGCCTGTCATGAAGGATGCACACATTGGGCTTCTCCTTCATAACTGATATTTTCAACTGCCTGAAGAACCATGTCCAACTTTCAATGTTCTCACTCTCCACAAAAGCAAATACGAGTGGGACAATTTGATTTTGTCTGTCTTGACCTATGGCTGTTAGGATCTGACCCTTGTACTTGCTAGCGAGAAAAGTACCATCAACACATATCATCGGTCGGCAATGCCTGAAAGCTTCGATGCATACACCGAAAGAGAAGAAGAGACGATGCAGCACCCTCACAGTTGGGAACTCTGGCATGAACAGGTCTTGGATATCGATATAGGTACCTGGATTCCACTGCTGCAGGGTGTGGAGGAGCTGGACAACAGAGTCATATGCATCAAAATAAGAACCAAATCTCCTCTCAAGCGCCGCATGCTTAGCCCTCCAAGCCTTGCCATAAGAAATTCGGTACTTGAACCTGGCGAAGACTTTTGTCTGGACTGCCTTCACTTCCATAGCTTTGCCCTGCACTATCTCATCGTAAAACAACTAAGCAATAAGCGTCGATGAAAGGTTGGCATGATCTTGAGGGATGCAGGGAATAAGACAAGTGTGATTAACTAAGTCACTGATCATCCAACTTGTGCCATACTTAGGGAGATAGCCGTGCACCCTGGCAGGACAATCTGCATTCCTGCATACCATTGTCAGGTATTTCTGACTTGACACCTGAGCAGTGAAAACCCTTTGCGTGGACATTGCCCAGTTTGTTATTGTATCCTTCAGAGCTTGCTTGTTGGGATACATAGCACCCGTTGCAATATTATTCTGGTGATATTGCCAGGCAGAATCATGTCCATCGTTCACGATCATAGCAGATGAGAAGTCATGATTCCACGATGCAAGATTCAGGACCTCCTCTGCATTTTCTTCTTCATACGACTTGTCTGAATCATAGGCATGACCCCTATCAACATCGGTGTCTTCTTCTTCCATCTGGTCCTGCATGTGCCCATCTACCTCGCCAGCGTCCACCTCACCATTGTATTCACCATTGGCATTTCCCCCTTCTACCTGACTATTCTGCCATGGTTCATAACCATCAGCATTTCCTCCTTCTACCTGACTGCTCTGTCCTTGTTCGTAACCATCATCTCCAGCATTTGACATAGATAACTGCCTCCCCACACTGCTCTGCCCAGGATCGTAGCCACCCTTGCCTTCATGTGCAGTGACGTCCTTCACGACGGGAAGCACTAAGGCAACAGGATTGCATCCCCTTCGTTCACAACCTTGTAACCACCGCACCCAATCGGAGTCTCGCTCTATTGGCCTCAAATAAAAGTAAATTATTGTACTTGACCATGTCCACAATCCATGAACACCGACGGTGTGTGTTTCAGTATCAAGACCTAAACTTGCCGCAATCCATTCTTTCAACTGACTAACAGACCATGTTTGAGGTGCGCTCATTGGCACCTCTATGTGAGTGAATTCACTCAGATCAGCTCCCATCTCAGTTGTTTGGACAGTACCATGACCGTAGTAAAATATGAACTTCACTACATCAGACTTCTCGGCTCACCTAGTTATTTTCAACAATGATATACAAGTATTAAGCAACAACTTAAAATATGCGCACTAACAAATATTACACATGTCTATATATTAGCTAGCTATATATTACGGAATATTAACGGAGCAACTAATACTACCGGAGAAACTACAAATTTTTACACAACTAATTAGTTAACATCTAAATATATTTATGTATACTACCGGAGCAACTAACAATTATCACACAACTAATTTATTTCACATCGAAACATATTAACAAATACTACCGGAGCACCTACGAAAAATAAAATATTGGTTGAAATATACCCTTGAAGCGTGCGTGCGAACGACGAACGACGACCTTCAATCACCGGAATCGAAGCAGTAAACTCCACCAAACTGCCGGAGCTTCACCTCCACCACCTCCACCACACTGCCCCAACTTCACCACCACCTCCTCCACCTCCACCACCGCAACAACCTCCACCAATGAGCTGGAAAAAAACTCCACCTAAATGCTCACCACGACCACCATGAGCTACCCCATCAGTAGATCGAGGTCTCTTTTGGTTGTCCTAACTAAGTAGAATCCATTCACGGTGCCAAATCCGCGGAAAAACGGTTCATTTGGTGTAGAAATTGGGGTCATTTTCTAGTATAGGGAGGAGAAAGAAAGAACAGAAGAAGAACATAGAAGAGAAGCACTGGCGCGTGGAAGAAGAGGAAAAGGGAGCCGGGCCAGCCGCGCACGACATGGGCCACACCCTGTCGGCCAGCAGCTGACCGATCGGTCAGCAACAAGCCGACTGGGGCGCCCCGTGACCAGCCTGCGCCGACAGCCACCTCTCTCCTCCTCGCGACGTGGCCTGGCTAATGCGCGGCCGACACGTGGTAGGCGGGCCAGCTGTCGGCTTGCTACTGGCCAACTACATCCAGTCGGCCTGAAGTGGGCTGACTAGGCCCAGTCGGCCAGCAGCGGGCCGATGATGTATTATTTTTAAAAATTATATATCATGCATAATATTTATGAAAATTAATAAAAATAATGTATTATTTAAAAAAATAGCCATCAACGGCGTTGGTCTAGTCTGACGTCGGGCTTCTTTCATACTACAGATAAGAAGTGTTTCCCTAACAAATATCATGCACTGCCAATTTAACACGTAGATGATATGACACTGTAATTAAAGAATAAAGAGAAGATAGCAGTATCATAGATCACCAAACAAGGAATTGGTAAATAGATCTTGTACATAACTTTACATTACAAATGGATAAATAAGATGATACTATGATATGCACTATACAACAGGATGATAGTAACTAAAATAATACCATGCGGTATGATACTATCCGGTGTGGGATGCCTACAACTTATTTATTATACTATACTACTAATGAACATCAATGAGCTTTGCAGTCATCAATCTCCTTATGGATCGGCACATTATATGGTGACGCCACCAAGAGTAGATGGTTGCTTCTCTTTGCCGTCAAGCCTACAACGGTGTCCATGTCCAGCTCATCCGGCCGCATTCCGGCAGGGAGGCTCCAGTCGAAGTAGTATAGAAGTCGTGCCACGACGAGTTCTACCAAGGCCAATGCAAAGATGTTCCCAGGACACATCCTCCTTCCACTTCCAAATGGCAGGTACTCTAGCTGTGTACCTTTGTAGTCCGCCGCGTTGTCCTCGAACCTCTCTGGCCTGAACTCCTCTGCATCCTGCCAGTACTCGGGGCTCCTCGCCATCGCCCATGCATTGACGAAGACGCGAGTGCCCTCCTCGACCCTGAGCCCGCGGACGTCGCAGGTCTCCCTGCAGACACGGGGGAGCAAGAGCGGAACCACCGGGTGAAGCCTCATGGCCTCCTTGACTACCATCTTTGTGTAGCATAGCTCTTCCATGTGAGCCTCATGGTCTTCTGGGTTCTTGTGGTTGAATGCACACCGCACCTCCTTCTGCGCCTTGGCCATTGCGCTTGGGTTCCTTATGAGCTCCGACATGACCCACTCGGTGGTTGATGCAGTCGTCTCCGTCCCTCCAGCGAACATATCCTAATTAGTCGGTCACAAAGCATAGTTTTCACTTTCAATGAGATGTCTATGAAATTGATTGAAGTTCCATAATTTTGTTGACACAGAAATGTTTACATTTCCGTCAAAATCATTCGGCAATTTCAGAACTACATGAACATTCAAAAAATTTCTCAAATCTTCCAAATATCTAGTTGAATATTTTAAGTGAATGATTCAGCCCTTTGGCTGAAATGCAAATCGAGTCACTGGTATTGATTGAATTTATTTTGGTGCTTGCTGAAATATTTCCGAAAAGTGAACTTTAGTGATTTTGTTGCAAATATTTCTGAAAGTGGAAGTGAAAACCATGTCACGGAGTTGACATGCACAAAGATGAAAATCCCGTTTCATATACTCACCGCTATGACTGCCTTGATGTTTGTGGTGCCCATGGGGACCTCGAGCTGCCCCTCATCCCTGATCCGAAGCAAGACTCTCAAAAGGTCCTCCTCGTCTCCCTTCTTGTTCTGCTCTCGCCGCGCCTCGCACTCCGCGATGATCTTGTCAAGGACCGTGTCGAGCTGCCGGCGCGCTCGCGAGAGCCGGCGCTTCATCCCACTGACGACGTCGACGAACGACAGAGACGGGAAGAGGTCCCCGACGCAGAGGCCCCCGCTGCTCCTCAGAATCACCTCGATCGCCGAAAGGAACTGCGCCTGCAGCTCCCCGGCGCACCCCTCGCCGAACGCCACCTTCGCCGTGATCGTGTTCGTGCACGACATCACCAGGCTTCCGAGATTAACCGCCTCGCCACCTCGGCCGGCAGAGCGGATCGTGTCGACGAGGCGCAGGATCTCGCCACCCCTGACGGGCGCGAACTGCCGGACCTTGCGCGCGCTGAGGAGCTCCGTCGTGCAGAGCCTGCGCATGGTCCGCCAGTACGCGCCGTAGGGCGCGAAGGCGACGTCCAGGTTCCCGTACAGGCAGATCTCCGAGGCCAGGATGCTGGGGCGCGACGCGAAGCTGAGGTCCTTGTCCCGGAGGACCTCCTGCGCAGCCGCCGGCGAGGAGATGACGACGGCGTCCACCTGGCCCAGCCTCAGGTACATCACCGGGCCGTGCTTGTTGGCCAGGTCACGGAGAGCGACGTGCGGCAATGGCGTGAGGAGGTGGTGTAGGCTTCCGATGAACGGGAGGCTCCATGGACCAGGAGGCCTTGCTGCGGCTTTGGATTTACGGCCAACTAAGGACAAAAGGATCGCTAGTGAAACGAGTGAGAGGAACAGGAGGGCGGCTGCCGTTAGCTCCATCAGTGTGGAATTACTTATTTCACAAAGCTCGTTGTTTTACTTGAGAAGAAGAGCGAGGGACCATCTTATAAGCCTTGTGATGAAGGCTCCAGTGGCGGTAGGATCCAGTTTAGACAATGGTTAGATTGTTCTAACTTTTAATATAAGTCGCGAACTGAGCCTAGCTCGGGTGATTAGGTTCTTTGTGGTGTTCTCATTTTTCTGGATTTGTTTTAGTCTTTCCGGCAATGTTCGTTGAGTGTACGAGCGTCTGCGTCAGTATTATATTTTTTTTAAGAAAACTTCTAATATTAGTCGCCTGTTTGGATTCTGCTTGATTTGTTCGTTATGAGTACTCTGTATTTCCTCTGCGATCAAAATACAATGCCTGTTAGGTTGTTCTAACTTCTAATATAAGTCAGAATTTACAAAATTTAATCAGGTTTATGGAAAATAATATGAATAGACAAAAGTTTATTTTAGTCCCTCAACTAATTGACAAGTGCAGCTTTTGTCCCTCAACTTCAAAATTAGACAACTTGCACTCTGATTTTTCCAGACCGTATGCTTTTATTATGTCTCTATCCTAAATGGAAGTGATTTCGTTGATGACGTGGAATGGGTTTTGACCCCGCGGTCCAAGTTTAGGTGGAAGGGTTAGTGACGGCAAGAACTGTGGTGACTGGAGGTGGTCCTTGGTGGCGTAACTTCCTCCCGCAAGAAAAAAAGAATGGGTTAAAATTGAGAGGGAGCAAAACCCCCTACTAATGAGTGATGGGTTGTTTTTCGAGAGTTGAAAGCTTTTCTGGAGTTTACAGTGTTTGGTTTACTCCCACGGGTTGTGGGAGAAGACACAACACGACTTATAAGGGTGTGGGTGTCCTCTCCTAACACGCTAGTCTTTTGGGGGAGAGGGTCCAAGGCCTCTCATAAGTCAGTGTTAGCGGAACCGGGATTGCGTGGCAAATGGTATCAGAGTCCAGGTGTCCGAAATAAATTTCGGTGGATTCACAGGTGGTCGGTCATGGTTGGTGGGATGGAAATGCTAGTGTTAGCAGGCCCATGGTGACTGATGTGTGAGGGAAAAATTGTTGGGTTTAGTCCCACATCGGTTATGGAAAGAGATAGAACACGGCTTACAAGGGTGTGGGTGTCCCCTCCTAACAGGCTAGTCTTTGGGGGAGGGGGGCCCAAGGCCTCTCATTAGTTGGTGTTGCTCTCCGGTTGGGCCTGGTTGACACATATGGGTCAGAAACGCTGGTGTTAGTGGACCCGGAATTGCGTTACATAGAGGACTACTGATGATGAGTTGATGGGTCTAACTCCCAATAGTTACATTTTTTTGGAGTTACAAGAGTTTTGGGGGATGTGTTAGAGATGATCTAACCGTACTTGGCAAGCTTTCTATAGACTCTGCGCTTTGATTTCTTATGCTTTGCTATTTCAGCTTTGTATTTTCTTTTCTATTTTGGCCTTTTGCCTCTATTTTATTAAAACTATGTCTTGTTTGGTTGGTTGGAGGTAATAATTAGATAAAGGAAATATGAACTGGGTTATAAGATCAAAGCCACCTGTTTGGTTGTAGGGACTGGGAATTAAAAGGGATCGGGAGTGGGAGTTTAGCACCACATGGCACATGTGGTAAGATATCCTCAAAGTCTATGGGAAGGAGTTTAGAGTCTAACAACCCCTACCATTTTAATAACAGGGAAGGGGTGAAAACAGGGATGGAAATTATGAACATCTCGAACCTTCAATGTAACTTAAGTTGCAATCCCTTACTTTCTTCTTAATCATTTATGAATATCCACTAACACTAGTAGAAAAAGGGCCTAATGTGAAGCTCATTAGTCCCAGTTTGTATTTGAACCGGCACTAATGTGATCATTAGAGCCGGTTCCAACGGCTAGGCGGGCGGCTTGCATTAGTACCGGTTCGTGGCGAACCTTTAGTACTGGTTCATACCACGAACCGGTACTAAAGAGGTGGTGGCAGGCTTTTGTCAGGCTGGGGCCCCACCAGCAGCTCTAGTACCGGGACTAGAAATGCACCTTTAGTCCCGGTTCGTCTAACAAACTGGTACTAAAAGTCTTCCTATATAAACCCCTTAGTCCATCCCAAGCGCTTTGTTCTTCCCCTTTCCTCTTCCTCTCGAGCTCACACTCCATTTTTGCCAAAATTTGTGAAGATTTGAAGGCACCCCATCCATCCAAGTGATCACAAAGGTTAGCAACTTTTTCCTTTCATCTCTCATTGCGAGATTAGCTCTTGCAATGCTCTATAAGTATAGTGATTTGTGGATTTTATTTTGGAAGGAATTATATGTGGTAGTATTTGATTTATATGCAATTTGAGGTCAAAATAACTCTTAATTTGCATATGTAGGTGTGGTTTACTTAGTGCCTTCCCGTCTCCGTCCTAACCACCGTCGATCGCCCGCACCGTCCCGTCGCCAGCTCCACCTTGTGGTGAGCCTCTTGTTCTTATCTTTTTAATATAAAAAATCATGTTTGTGTGATTTAGATATATAGTTACTTGTATAATTATCTTACCTATACGTTGTTTGTTATACATAGCGCCATGGTTTTGATATCCGTCCCCGTCGGCCCTTGATACATCTCCAACGTATCTATAATTTTTTATTGTTCCATGCTATTATATTATCCATCTTAGATGTTTTATATGCATTTATATGTTGCTTTATATGATTTTTGGTCTAATCTATTAACCTAGAGCCCAGTGCCAGTTTCTGTTTTTTCCTTATTTTTGAGTTTTACAGAAAAGGAATACCAAACGGAGTCCAATTGACGTGCCCATTTTTGATGATTTTTTATGGACCAAAAGAAGCCCCCGGAGTAAAAGAGTTGGGCCAGAAGAGTCCCGAGCCGTCCACGAGGGTGGAGGGCGCGCCCCACCCCTCCTGGGCGCGTCCCTATCCCGTGGACGACTCGGAGACCCCCCTGATGTGAAACCGACGCCAAAAATACCTATAAATACCACCCCCTCCCCCAGAAAGAAACCTAGATCGGGAGTTCCGCCGCCGCAAGCCTTTATAGCCACCAAAAACCAGTCTGGACCCTATTCCGGCACCCTGCCGGAGGGGGGATCCATCACCGGTGGCCATCTTCATCATCCCGGTGCTCTCCATGATGAGGAGGGAGTAGTTCACCCTCGGGGCTGAGGGTATGTACCAGTAGCTATGTGTTTTATCTCTCTCTCTCTCTCGTGTTCTTGATTTGGCATGATCATGATGTATCGCGAGCTTTGCTATTATAGTTGGATCTTATGATGTTTCTTCCCCTCTACTCTCTTGTAATGGATTGAGTTTTCCCTTTGAAGTTATCTTATTGGATTGAGCCTTTAAGGATTTGAGAACACTTGATGTATGTCTTGCATGTGCTTATCTGTGGTGACAATGGGATATTCACGTGATCTACTTGATGTATGTTTTGGTGATCAACTTGCGGGTTCAGTGACCTTGTGAGCTTATGCATAGGGGTTGGCACACGTTTTTGCCTTGACTCTTCGGTAGAAACTTTGGGACACTCTTTGAAGTTCTTTGTGTTGGTTGAATAGATGAATCTGAGATTGTGTGATGCATATTGTATAACCATACCCACGGATACTTGCGGTGACATTGGAGTATCTGGGTGACATTAGGGTTTTGGTTGATTTGTGTCTTAAGGTGTTATTCTAGTGCGAACTCTAGGATAGATCGAACGAAAAGAATAGCTTCGTGTTATTTTACTACGGACTCTTGAATAGATCGATCAGAAAGGATAACTTTGAGGTGGTTTCGTAGCCTACAATAACCTTTTTGTTTGTTCTCCGCTATTAGTGACTTCGGAGTGACTCTTTGTTGCATGTTGAGGGATTGTTATATGATCCAATTATGTTATTATTGTTGGGAGAACTTGCACTAGTGAAAGTATGAACCTTAGTCCTTGTTTCCTAGCATTGCAATACCGTTTACGCTCACTTTTACCACTTGCTACCTTGTTGTTTTTATATTTTCAGATTACAAAAGCCTATATCTATCATCCATATTGCACTTGTATCACCATCTCTTCGCCAAACTAGTGCACCTATACAATTTGTCATTGTATTGGGTGTGTTGGGGACACAAGAGACTCTTTGTTATTTGGTTGCAAGGTTGTTTGAGAGAGACCATCTTTATCCTACGCCTCCCACGGATTGATAAACCTTAGGTCATCTACTTGAGGGAAATTTGCTACTGTCCTACAAACCTCTGCACTTGGAGGCCCAACAACATCTACACGAAGAAGGTTATGTAGTAGACATCAAGCTCTTTTCTGGCGCTGTTGCCGGGAAGGTTAGTGCTTGAAGGTATATCTTTATATCTTGCAATCGAATCTTTTTGTTTCTTGTTTTATCAATAGGTTAGTCTATAAAAGAAAATTACAAAAAAATGAAATTAAGGGTGCCTCATATGCTTCATATTTTTAATGTCTTCCGTGAAAATAAGGATTCCTATAATTGTGCTCAATTTCTAGAGGAATAATGCATTAAAATGTTTGGCACTAAATCTTTGAATGATGAGCACGATTGCAATGTTGTTAGTATGAATTCTTTGAATACCCGTGATGCTAATGATATGCAAAGCCACAAGCTTGGGGATGCTATGTTTGATGAAGATGATATGTTTAGTCCCCAAAGTTTTGATGAGCAAATTTATTATAATGAAAGCATGCCTCCTATTTATGATGATTATTGTGATGACACATATGCTATAAAGAATAAATATAGCCATGAAATTTGTCATCATGATTTTAATTTTCAATTGGATTATGCCTCACATGATAGTAATTTTGTTGAGTTTGCTTCCACTATTCTGAATGAGAAGAATTTTGCTTATGTGGAGAGTAGTAAAATTTCTATGCTTGTGCATCATGAGATTAACGCTTTATGTGATGGATATATTATTGAATTCATTCATGATGCTACTGAAAATTATTATGAGAGAGGAACATGTGATCTTACATATTGCAATAATATCAAGT